GTCCCATCACACACAATCTTTGTCAGATCACACACAATCTTTATCACATCACACACAATCTTTTTCCCATCACACACAATCTTTGTCCCATCACACACAATCCTTGTCCCATCACATACAATCTTTATCACATCACACACAATCTTTGTCCCATCACACACATTCTTTGTCACATCACACATAATCTTTATCACATCACACACAATCTTTATCACATGACACAATCGTTATCCCATCACACACAATCTTTATCCCATCACACACAATCTTTATCCCATCACACACAATCTTTGTCCCATCACACATAATCTTTATCAAATCACACACAATCTTTGTCCCATCACACACAATCTTTGTCCCATCACACACAATCTTTGTCAGATCACACACAATCTTTATCACATCACACACAATCTTTATCCCATCACACACAATCTTTGTCCCATCACACACAATCTTTATCACATTACATACAATCTTTGTCCCATCATACACAATCTTTATCACATCACACACAATCTTCGTCCCATCACACACAATCTTTATCACATCACACACAATCTTTATCACATGACACAATCGTTATCCCATCACACACAATCTTTATCAAATCACACACAATCTTTGTCCCATCACACACAATCTTTGTCACATCACACACAATCTTTATCACATCACACACAATCTTTATCCCATCACACACAATCTTTGTCCCATCACACACAATCTTTATCACATTACATACAATCTTCGTCCCATCACACACAATCTTTGTCCTATCACACACAATCTTTGTCACATCACACACAATCTTTATCACATCACACACAATCTTTATCCCATCACACACAATCTTTGTCCCATCACACACAATCTTTATCACATTACATACAATCTTCGTCCCATCACACACAATCTTTGTCCCATCACACACAATTTTTGCCACATTACATACAATCTTTGTCCCATCACACACAATCTTTGTCCCATCACACACAATCTTTGTCCCATCACACACAATCTTTATCACATCACACACAATCTTTGTCCCATCACACACAATCTTTATCACATTACATACAATCTTTGTCCCATCACACACAATCTTTATCACATCACACACAATCTTCGTCCAATCACACACAATCTTTGTCACATTACACACAATCTTTGTCAGATCACACACAATCTTTATCACATTACACACAATCTTTCATCCCATCACACACAATCTTTGCCACATTACACACAATCTTTATCACATTACACACAATCTTTATCCCATCACACACAATCTTTATCCCATCACACACAATCTTTATCACATCACACATAATCTTTATCACATCACACACAATCTTTATCACATGACACAATCGTTATCCCATCACACACAATCTTTATCCCATCACACACAATCTTTATCCCATCACACACAATCTTTGTCCCATCACACATAATCTTTATCAAATCACACACAATCTTTGTCCCATCACACACAATCTTTGTCCCATCACACACAATCTTTGTCCCATCACACATAATCTTTATCAAATCACACACAATCTTTGTCCCATCACACACAATCTTTGTCCCATCACACATAATCTTTATCAAATCACACACAATCTTTGTCCCATCACACACAATCTTTGTCCCATCACACACAATCTTTGTCAGATCACACACAATCTTTATCACATCACACACAATCTTTATCACATCACACACAATCTTTGTCCCATCACACACAATCTTTATCACATTACATACAATCTTTGTCCCATCATACACAATCTTTATCCCATCACACACAATCTTCGTCCCATCACACACAATCTTTATCACATGACACAATCGTTATCCCATCACACACAATCTTTATCCCATCACACACAATCTTTATCCCATCACACACAATCTTTGTCCCATCACACATAATCTTTATCAAATCACACACAATCTTTGTCCCATCACACACAATCTTTGTCACATCACACACAATCTTTATCACATTACACACAATCTTTATCCCATCACACACAATCTTTGTCCCATCACACATAATCTTTATCAAATCACACACAATCTTTGTCCCATCACACACAATCTTTGTCACATCACACACAATCTTTATCACATTACACACAATCTTTATCCCATCACACACAATCTTTGTCCCATCACACACAATCTTTATCACATTACATACAATCTTTGTCCCATCACACACAATCTTTATCACATCACACACAATCTTCGTCCCATCACACACAATCTGTCACATTACACACAATCTTTGTCCCATCACACACAATCTTTATCACATTACACACAATCTTTCATCCCATCACACACAATCTTTGCCACATTACACACAATCTTTATCAAATCACACACAATCTTTGTCCCATCACACACAATCTTTGTCCCATCACACACAATCTTTGTCCCATCACACACAATCTTTATCACATTACACACAATCTTTATCCCATCACACACAATCTTTATCCCGTTACACACAATCTTTGTCACACTACACACAATTTTTATCCCATGACAGACAATCTTTATCCAAAGTGGAAGCACAAAGTGTCATGTCACACAGAGTAATAACACAACACAAATATGGATTAAGAATATATTTATCAAGTTAAGAATGATACTGATAATGACATAACAACGTACATACTCACACCCATTCAACTAGCTTCCACTAACTATCACCCTTCACACACTTCACACACACTCTGTCACTCTAACAGACACTTTCCAAATACTTAGGGTTACTCAACCCTACTACCAAATGAACTAAAATTGTACCAATATTCTATCTCCTTAATCCTGACTCATACATCATCAATATACCATTGCATCAACATCAGAACATAAATACATCAGAACATCAATACCTTAATGCATCAATACTTCAATACATTGACAAATGCATGTCAACATTCAACAATCTCACAGTACACATTATTATGTACACAGTATGTACATGTACAAAGTCATCTTCTCCACGTCTCCTCCCCCATCCTCGCACTGTACGCTGTTTATGTGTCTCACACAGGTCTCATCCAGACCAGATGTAATCATCCTCATACATGTGTACTTAAAGGGGAAGTGTACACGCAAAAATCACTTTCTTTCTTATTTTAAACAAAACGGAATTTTAGAATAAGTTAGTATCAGTGTTTGAAAATATACACTCATTTTTCTCACAGTCAATGTAGCGAGCTCACAATAGGTGAAAATGTCATGCCGTTATGAGGCCTTCGTTTTCCGAGCTAAACAGGCCTGAGTTATCCCCCTTAGATTATGACGTAATTGGTGCCAATTTAACTGGGTCCCTGTCTTGTCACAACGCAAAAGATATCAAGTACCAGTTTATGGTGAGACAACATGGCAGCCTGGGCCCCGTTCCACAAAGCTATCTTAGGGCTAAGTTGATTGTAACTCACTAAGTATGCGATCTTAAATTTTTGTTACGATCAGCCGCCCGTTCCACAAAGCAATCTTAACTAAGAGAGTTGTAAGTTAAGATCAAAATGCTAAGTTGCCCCGGACCAACTTAGGATTGCTAAAATCGATCTTAAATATTGTACCATTACAACAAAGATGGCGACTTTTTATATGGTGTGCAAGGAAATGCGTCGTCTGCTAAACATGACCAAGGGAAAATTTCGTATCTTTATGGCTGAAGATTCCGATCTTTGTTAAGATCGGCTACTTAAGAACTTGTAAAGTTACAATCACCCTAAGATCGCTTTGTGGAATGGTTGTAAACTTTAGCTAAGACAATTTTAGAATCGACGTAAGTCTCTAAGACTGATTGTAGTTATGATCTGAAGAGGTTCCCTTGACCTTTCAAGAAATCACAAAACCATACGATTTTGAACCAAAACGAGCAAGCTTCGCAGTATGGAAACGATGAAAATCAAGTGGAAACAAGAGAAGACCCACATCACCTAATTTGTCACCCGACCCCGACTCGACATCTACACAATTAGGCCTACCAGTGACAACGTGGTAAGAATAACCCTTTGATGTGTGTATACCTAAATTACCTATATGCTCACTATTACGTTTTCAGAAGCGGATTCTTTTTGATTTTTCCCATCCGAGTTCAAAATACCTGCCATATTTATTGATAAGTAATTGGATGTCGTACTTCACACTTCACACCGTCCCCATTTGAAAGTGAAAAGATAGATTTCACTCAATTGAGTTGTTTAGTGTTTGAAACCAGTTACTGCAGTAGGCCTACAGTATCTTATTCTATTTAATAGATAATTGGTTATTGGTTTGTTCTGACAACCATTCATAGAAAATGCATTGCAAATTTGCAGGGAAACTATTTATCATCCATTATGGGGCCAGTTTTTTTTTAAAAAATGTTTAGAAACTATAAAAAAAGAAGAAATATCAAATATATAATTAATTATTAAAAACAGTGGGTTGTTTAACTGAGTGGACCAGATATATGTAAAATGTGTACAAAAAGCTCATTTACTGTCACAATCAATACATATAAATTATCTAAGAAACTATAAGTAAAACTTGTTGAATATTAGTGAAAAATATTTGAAATTGTAAATCTTTGTTTGGAAATTTGGACCTCCCAAACTGCCCTTTTGAGCAAAACATCTTTAACAACCACCCCCTAAAATGCAAATGAAATATGCAATCATTTTTTTATATGAGTGAGTGAGTAGGGTTTTACCCCGCTTTTAGCAATATTCCAGCAATATCACAACTGGGGTACACCAGAAAAGGGCTTCACATGTTGCGCCCATGTGGGGAATCGAACTTGGGTCTTCAGTGTGACGATCGAATGCTTTCACCACAAGGCTACCCCACCACCCGTTTTTATATTAACACTTGAAATAAAGTTTAGAAAACATATAATATGATTTACTTTCATCAATTTATTTTATTATGCATTTTAAGATCTATCATGCACAACAAACAAATCTGACAAGTAAAATAAGAGATTCGAGTACCATAAATGTTTATTTGCCAGCAAGTTGTGAAAGCATATGTAACTTGTAAGGTTATTAAATTACATCAGTGATATTGAAACATGCCCACAATATTTCAAGAAGTATTCAAACCTACAGTAATAAACACATCATGTCAACATGATAGAACTATAAACTGTTTTGGTATTTATTGAATTATTAACATGTAATAAAAATTATGCATTTATCATCAATACAAGTTACTTCTTATATAAGCATCCCTCCAGATTTAATGACAAAAATATATATGTAAATGGTATGATATTTTTTTGTAATGTTGTGCATAGCTTTACTAATAAAAGACACTTATTCATTTCAGAATCTCTCTACACCTCATAAACAAGAGGTTCACTTTGGGGATTTGCAGAAATAGTTGAAGAATCAGAGAAAAGTTATTCCATCTTGTGTTGTCGAGGTGATTCATGAAAGATTTCCATCTGATGTATGTAATGTTTTTCTCTATGCTCATTAAAATAAACTTTTTTTATTGAAATCTTGTTTTATGGTCTCTGACAACAATCAGCCTTTGCTGTTTCATTTGATAAGTTTCTGTAATACAGGATGGCTGATGCTGGATCAGGTAGTATTGGGCAAGGGCGAAGGCTGGGGAAAAGACTGAAGAAAATATCACAAGCACTGGCTAAACATGCTAAATGCTCAGTGGCAACTTGTTAGTGCACTGGTTGACCATTTCAAAAGTACAGCTCTCTTGTTGTCTGAAGCACTGTACCTCACAAGACACTCTAATATTTTATGACTTGTAACTCTGCATGAAAATAAACACAATTTGCACACAATGAAAATGGATCTCAACACCAGGGATTTCTTGTGACACCGTTGGGGCAGGATACTCTCACCTTTCGCGAACACCTGGTATTATCACTATTTGATAGTGATTCATTAACACGTGCTCATGATTTAGTCAGAATCGTACCATCAACTGTTTTTTAACAGAGATTTCATATGAATATGGAAAGGGTTTTGTCGCATTTATACTCTTCCATATCATTGTAGGACCTGAAAAATATAAAAATAATTTGAACATAGATTTGTCAAAATAATATGTACACTGACTAAATAATTGTAAAAGAAGGTGGTAATAATCTGCAGCAGTGTCAGGCATGTCACTGGGTGCCTGAATACAAATATTATCAGTTAACTGTTTACAAATTGTATCAGATCTAAACTTTTATATGTCATCCACACTACACTTTTACAACAAAAGACAACAATATAGAATATAATAGATACACAAAATAGTTCAATACAGAAATTATTTGCATATAGTATTTACATTGTGTGATTATTCATTGTCAAAATATTATTTTGTACCTCATACTGTGAAGCATGGTGTGTTTTCCTGTGTTATTATAAAGTTTATTAAATACCGAAATGAGATGGTTTGTGTTAATTCCAGACGGGAATGGCTGTAAAACTAAAACATTACGTAACACAACTTACTCCATCAACAGGAGTTTGCTGCATACTGCACCGATCAGCTGATCAGGAGTATCGACATAACCATGCAGGAAGTGAACATGTGAGCGAGACAACATCCCGGATATTCATGATTATCAAGTGAAACTATGTACAAATATCACCCTACCCCTGCTAAAATACATTTCTTAAATACTACTGTGGTTAGAATAAACTAAAACAGCAAACTTACCTGATCGAGTTACTTCAACTTTACGGCGTTTGTTTACAAAAACATCCCAGTCAGGGTCTTGATGAGAGTGCTGTCCCTTGAGCCCGTTTCCATATAAGGATCGTACACAATCCGCTTCCAATCAGTTTCAGCAGAGGACCATATGTAACTAATAATAGTAACAAAAACGGCCTTCGGCCTCGTCTACAATATTTTGGCGAGTTTTTTTTATTGTTATTATTAGTTACATATGGTCCTGTGGTTTCAGAACCAGCAGGTATCTAAACTCTCACAGAAGAAGACAGCGACTCAGCAAGAGCCAATATGCGCAACACAAATGAACGAATAAGCGCAATTCATACAACGGACCTTTCCAACCATAATCGCGAATCTTACAGTATGTTATCAGTGCATTGTTGTCTTCTCAGTAGCGATGTTGGAAAACGAAATAATTTTAGAGTTATTGTGCTTAGCGTTGTATCTTGGACAGCTCGGCACCGAACAAAACAATAGCTAGGCTGCGCATCTGAGAAGATAGAACCACACACCTACATACACCACGTGAAACGCGTCTAATAAAGTCTTATGACGTCATTCCTTTATCAATTGGCACCAATGACGTCATATTGCAAGGGGCATAAGCCATGGTGTGTTTATTATGGAAATAGAACTCTCTGTAAATGTGAAAAATATGAACCGATTTTATGCATAAAATAAATTAGATACTTGTGATATTTTTATTGTTTTGCCTCCGAAACTACTAGGTAAATACTTTTCATGATGAAAAAGTACAAGAAAAATAGGTTTATTTTCGTGTGAACTTGCCCTTTAACCATCTGTCGCCCTGGGATCAGGCCTACCAACATGAATAACTGCCTTATACATGGTACAGATGCCCCTCTGGGTCCCCGGACAGCCACCAGATTGCAAAAACACACCAAAACCAAAACAGTTGAACCTGAAGGTCAGAATTCTCCAAGACTGCACTGAATGTTACTTACTTACTTGGGCCTGTTTTGGTTAGATAGATGCCTAGTGCTTTAAAGGTTTGTAAGTCATTTAGGGGGTTTAGTTAAGCGTTGCTAGTGTCATTTGATTGTTGCAGTTTAGTGTGGATCGGAGTGTTGTTCTGTGTTTTTGGTAATGTGCTCAATATAGTATTACGTGTTCAGGCGTTTCTTTTAAGTTGCAGTGGGGCCATTTACCGGTTTGGTGTTCTTTAATTTGGTGTAGGTGGGAGTTTAACTTAGTGTGGTCTGTTTGTAGTTTGGTTATTACTCTGTCAATTGTTTTGGTTTTATGATGGCTTTTTGTTTTTTTGAGTGGTTTTTGTAGCAGGTGTTTTGGTTTTATGATGGCTTTTTGTTTTTTTGAGTGGTTTTTGTAGCAGGTGTTTTCGTTTGCAGTCAGATTTCTGATAGTTATTTTGCCAATTTTGGAAGATTTTCCCCTTTGTGATACTTTTAATTTTGTTTTTTGATATTGGTAGGTTGATGCTTACTTCTTCTTATTTTAGCGCTGATTTGGCTGCTTTGTCTGCGTGTTCGTTGCCAGACACTCCAACATGGGCAGGGATCCAAACTATTTCTATGTCTTTACCTAGTTTACGTAGATTGTTGGGGCTTTTAATTACCTGTTGTATTAGTTTTGGCTGTTTTTTGGGCTTTTGTATTTTATGGCCTGGAGTCCACTTAATGAGTCTGTATGGATTAGGGTTTTTTGGGTGTCTATTTATTTTCAGGTCTGTTACTATCCCCATTAATTCGGCTGTGAAAATTGATTGATTATTTGGGAGCCTATAGGATTTTGTTTCTTTTTAGGGTTTGTTGATATGGATGCCGAATCATGTGCGTTTTGACCTGTCTGTGTAAATGTGGCACCAATTTGGCCATTTTTTCGTGAATGTATGTGAATGGTGGATTTAGCGGAATTAGGATCAGTTTCTTTACTTAGTCTGGTGGAGAGAGATATGTTGATTTGGGGGGTTTGGAGTTTGGGTATGAAGGTATTATTTGGGGCTGTGTTTAAAAATATTAAGGTTGTGTGTTTTTAGGTAATTGATTATGCGCTGAGGGATTGGTATTAATTGAGGGTTTTTTCGAGCTAGAGCTTGGAGCCTGGGACTTATGTTGGTTTTAAGGATTTGTTGGTTTTGTTGGGTTGAAGCTAGCCCAGTAGTTTATTGTTAGGTGTTCTTGGTGTAGATCCAGGGGTGTTTTGCCGCTTAGTGCCTACAGTGATATGCGTGGTGTGCCTTGCTGAGTGCGTGTAATTATCTCTAGTGCTTCATATTGATTTGAGTTTAGTTTATCGCTTAATGAGGAGTTTAAGGTGTTGTATATTTGGCTTCCATAGTGTATTTTTGATCTAGTTAGTGATTTGTAAAGTGATAGTAGTTTCTCCTTGGAGGCACCCCAGTAGGAACCTGTCAGGCAGCATAGTGTGTTTAGGTCTTTAGTGCATCTATTTGTTAGGTCTTTAATGTGAGCACCCCAGGTCAAAGATTAGTCCAAGTAATTTGGTTTCTTTTTTGAATTTTTTTGTTTTTTTGTTTAGTTGAAGTTTAGGGGTGTTTGCACGCATATTTCTGTGTTTGAATACTATCCCTATAGTTTTTTCGGCATTTAGTGTGAAACCCCATATTTGAATTTTATTTCATGCAATCTGCAGTAATTTTTGAGACATATTTATGCTTCTGGTGCAGATCCTGAGTATTCATCCACGTATTTGGAAGTTTGAATTTTATTGGGTATGCCCTCGAATAAGTCATTAATCATAATGTTAAAGAGTGTTGGGCTTAGAATGCTACCTTGGGGTGTGCCATTTTCTAAAGGACACTGGTCTGATACTGTTTGGTCGACACCCATGGTTATTTTGTGATTAGTTAGGAAGTCTTGGATATAGTTTATTATTTGGCCTTTAAGTCCTGTTTTGTTTAGTTTTTGTTTTAATCTGTTATGCCATCCCATATCAAAAGCTTTAGAGAAGTCTAGAAATATGCCTACTGTGTATTGTCGGTTTAGTTGGCCCATTTTCATGTCTTGTTCTAATCTGGTGAGGTTGTCTGAGGTTGAACGGCCTGGGGTGAATCCACTGTGGTCCTGGTTTATCATATTGTTTTGGTCTAGGTAGTGTTGGAGTCTATTTTTGACCATTGCCTCTATGAATTTACATACTTTTGAGGTTAGGGAGATTGGTCTGTAGGAGTTTGCCTCGTTTGCTGGTTTTTTCGGCATTATGACCAATGATTTTTCCCATGAAGTAGGAACCTGACCGTTTTGGTAGATGAGATTGTATAGTTTAAGTAGTGATTCCAGAAGATTTTTGGGTAGCTGTTTAATTATTTGGTATGATGCTAAGTCTAGTCCGTGGGCTGTTCCATTTTTTGGTATTAATTAGTACATGGAGTAGTTCCTCTAGTGTATATCGTTGGTTAACTTCTAAGTAATCATCTTTGGGTAATTTGGAGAATGTATTTCGATTATTAATTGTTTTTGGAATTCCTCAGGGAAGTTACTATTACTACTAATAGCTGAGAAGTGGTTTGGGAGGTTATTTGGTATGATGTTTGTGGTGTGGGGAGAAGTGGTTTGGATGTGCGTGGTGCTGGTTTTCTTGTTTGTAGTTTTGCTGTGTCGATGTTTATGTGTTTGTTTGCCCGTTGTTTGAGGGTGTATCTGTGGGGCAGTGATTTGATAGTGAAGTGTGAGTTATAGTTTTGCAATGTGTGCACCACAGGGCGGTTGATCCTGGACAACCATGGGGCGGTTGATACTGGACAATGTGGTTGTGCACATTTTTTGCATATGGTTATTTTAGACGTGCATTGGGAGGTTGTGTGGTTATACTTTAGCCATTTAGTATATTGTTTGACTGGTTTAATATAAGGTTTAACCTCTAATTTATTTTGGGTGCCGAAAGAGATCGTTTTTGTTGCTTTTGGAAATTTTTCTGATTTTCTGAAGTTGATGTGTTGGTGTGAGATGTGATTTTCCATTCCTAGTTGTGTATATTCTGCAGGTACTGACAATTTTGGGTCGTGTGTTCTGACTGTAGTTAGCTCCTTGGGTGTATAGTGTGAGGTCCTCATCTGTGTCTCTGGGGCTAACTCTTATGACAACTCGGGGAAAATTTTGCCAGTTTGGGACTCATGTGTGTGAGTAGGGTACACATATCTATTGTGAGTTTGGTTTTCCCCAAATTTCTGTTTTTGTATTGATATGATTTCTATTTTCTTATATTGATATAATTTCATTTTTATCTTTGGCTGCTCTGTTTATATACGTTCAAGTAGCTGTCCATCTCTCAGAAATAGAGTTAGCTTGGCCTTCGCTATTGCATCTCTTGGCTTTAGGAGATCTGTGACAGCTAGCAGGTCTAACTGTAATTCTTGTTTTAACCAAGCCCGGGCTGGGCTTGACATTCCAGTAACAAGTGAACAATGGATTCAGCCTGATTTGCAAGATGGACAAACCTTGTCATAGTGATTTTTGTGACCGAGTCTGCGGCGTGAGATGGCATTTTCAACTTTCCTTTCATTTGAGTATGAGTTTGGCTTTTGTTGGATCTTGGGTTGAATTTTGTATAGCCATCTGCCGATCTTACTTGTATCCCACTGGGCTTGCCATCTTTGGGCTATGGAGGCTTTGATTCTACTTTACATCTCTAGTATACTAAAGGGAATAAATAGGCTGTATCTCCTCTTTGTCCAAAAGCTAGCTTCGCCAGAGTGTCTGCTTTTTCATTTCCATGAATATCTATGTGAAAGGGGATCCAACACAGCTCCACCTGTTGCTCTTGGTCTGATAGTTTTGTATATTTGTATAGAATATAATTGACTGTGCTTGGCCTGGAGTTTGAGTTTCTGCCGCTGATGGCCTGAAGTGCACTTAGCGAGTCTGATAGGCGACTGCCTTTCCTTCCGGTAGTTCCGGTATGAGTTTGAGTGCATGGTGATTGCCTCCAATTCAGCAGCAGTGAATACTGACTGACCATCAGGCAGGCAAACCGAATGTGCTTGGGGTTTGGAGCTGTGGATATCCTGTTGTTGATCAGTGTATATATAGGCCCAGCTGTCCCAGGTAGTTTGAATTTTAGTGATAGCTACTGATCGTAGTAGGGTTTTGTTTTCTTTTTATTGACT